TGTTGCCTTGGCGCGAGCATTACCTGCGGCGTAGAGAGAGAAACAGCCGCTATAAGTGTGCTCATACTTGGAGACACGGGTATGAAGGGTTGATAAAATCCGAACAACAGCCAGAATGCAAAGGATAAATTTGGGTAATCGCATCGAAACAATATACCAGTGTACTCAAAATTGTAAGGAAAACATAATTTATGGGGGTGTAATATAAGTGCTAAATTCAACGTGACCATAATACGTGAACAAGCACGAGTAGGCACCCAAATAAACCAGACAAAAACAGGCATTCGATGAAACGTACTAGTCCCGTTCCATGTTTACGTTTCCTGCTACTAATACGATTTTATAGCGCAAAACGGACTGAAATATTATCAGCGACTTACGTTTCAAAGGGCAGTCCCGATTCAGTCAAGCCGCCTCAAATGTGGATTTCGGTGTAGTTCATTACCGGTCACGCATTTTTTGCATCTTAACTAAAAATAGAGCAAGGAAATGTTTTTTTCCCTCTCTAGCCCTCATTTCATTTTCTTTAACTCCCTCTACGTAGTAAACGAGGCTTGTTACGGAGGGAAAACAGAATCGGCGACAAATACACGACTGAACCAAGCGATTTAGTCCACCAATTAATGAATCTATATGCAGTTCTATTGGAACTAAAATATGCACGAAATGGCTAGTTATGACCACAATTTCCACTTGCTCACCATTTAAACGTGAAGATAGTGTGTGATAGTATCCGCGGTAAAGCGCCAAGTTTTGTAAAAACAAATCTAGCTAAACTGGAATTCAGCTAGATGAAAGAAGGATCTTAGGAATAACCATAACGAGCTTATCACGGAATGAAAAGTGAAGCGTAGTTAGCGACCTGAAGCAGGTTGGGATGTGCAACAGTAAGATCCAAGAGAAATCTAACTGGATGGAATTGTCCATGAGAGGAACAAGTGATTGAGGGTGTATGTATATTTGTGGATGGCGGCAAAGCCGATGATATCTCGCATGAAATATAGACTGCAGTCAATGAGTGCGGTGCTTTGAAGTTAGTGGCTAACTTGCGCTGCCGACTGGTAATGTGCACTTTTAAAATGATTATTTTGAATAAAAAATAGTCCGTTATCAAAAAATAGATCATTATAGGTACTTAGAGGGTGATTTTGAGCTTTTTAAAATGTCTGAAATCATTTGCGATTCAGATAAACAGATGTAACTCCCGAAAAGGGAGGACTGATAACATCTCTTTTAACCCATAAAAGTCGGTAGAGTATTATGCCACTTTGAAGTTTTACAGTGTCAAGGGATCAAACAGTTTGGAAATCCTCACTTTAGAATGGTGAGCTCAAATAACCTACAACTTTCTAACTTGCTAGGCGACTCATCAAGGTCACGATTTTGGTGAATCTATGATCCACACATAGTATCACTTCTAGTTATCCAAATCCCGGTTTTTGATTCTGCCTTGTAAATGCTTTACAGTATTTCACTATGACTAATTTGAGGAAACAATAAAGCACTCCTTTTGGCTTATGGTTCTTTCAGCGAAGCATCGGTAATTGTTTCCTGAATGCAATTCACTTTGTTACCCAACATCCGAAGGTAGGATAGACAAAGTCATTAAAGTGAGGCATAGCGTTTCCCTTGCACTAGGCCATCGCAAAAGCAGTGACCGGTTCACCCTCAGCTGTTAGCAGTACAAATACTAATGTTTACTTTTCATGAATTTGGCCTCAGTAAAACTATCTACAGCAATGAAGATCTTGAAAATAAAACGATAATTCAAGCCAAATAAAGATACTAAGACAAGTAGATTTATGTTTCAGCTAAGACTTGCTTCCAAAATAAGCTTAATTCCAACGATAAAACCTTTTTCTACGCTAATGAAGTTGCACACGCAGGTACAAGGGGTACATTTGAAAAAAGATCATAAAACCAGAGGAAATAGAAAAGTTTTATGCTTGCCAGTCAAAACTCAACAAAAACATTTAGACATAGGAGCATAGATGATAAAAACTGGGGTTATGAAGGTGTAATTACTGAACGCTGATTCTAGTCGTCAAGTCTCGAATGCTGGATCAAAAACAGTTCGAACATCATATTTCCATATCAACTTTGCACGGAGCTATTGCAATGCATTAACGACTAAAAAAATCATCAGAACAGCACTGAGATGAGAACGCCTTGGAGATAAATAAATTACCCTTTTTTTCTCAATCAATCGTGACACTCATTAGCCCTGGTAAAATAGGGCGGCACGTCTGATATCCTTCACAATGAAAAAAAGGTAAGACGGGTGAATGACCGACTAACTACAATAAAAAAACGTTTCAATTAAACTAAGCTGTCCATTGTACATGTCACATATCCATTTAAAACAATGTTGGAATAAAAGAAAAAAAGATAATTGCGTTCTATCTTTTAAGGAGGATAAACTATGAAGCTGTTTGCTTACCACTTGTACCCCACTTTAGCGTAAAAGCTGTTTCATCCAACTGAATACAATTCCGACTGGGAATAGGAATTTTAAGAAGTGTTGGATTGCTGAAAGCATTTACAAGTATACTTGAGGCCAGATAATCAATTATGTTCCCAAAAAATGATGCGATCAGTGTGCAAAAGTTTAACAATCGAGAACGAGAATTGAACCCACTTTTAAGTAATTTTACAAAATAATGAGCGCTAAAAGGCAATATTCTTAAGAGTAGAACAATCAACATCACCAACGACCACAAAATCAAACGGTTTTACTTGGTTGTCCTATCGGTAGTAGCCATTTTTCACTCCCTATCTTAACAATAAAAATAAGCACTTTATATGTGGACTCGGGGTAACATTTATAACACAGAAGACAGTAAAAAGATGTTATCAATCAGATGACCTTCTAGACTACAACTTCTACGGCGGATAGGGTTGCTTACCACTGCTGTCTTTGTCTATATCCTGCGCAGGGAAGTACTGCCCCGTGATTGAACTCCTGAAAGTCCTCCCCATCACCAGACCGACGGGGAGGAAGCGTCGAAACGGCTCCCGACAAGGCAACAGGCCAAGCTCGCGATGCAGGAAGTGAGCAATAAAGCGCGCGTAGAAGAGGTGACGAATGGCTAAAGGGAGCAATAGTGGTTAGAGTTGGACACCACTATGGGTTGCACGCTGAGACTGTACATGCTCCAGACTGACCGTGTTCGATGCCACCAATGTATATATCCACAGGAATGTGCTTGTGCGCGTTGTCGCGCGAGCAGATCTCCTTAGAGTTCGTTGGGTCGAGGAAACGAAGATAATACCAGGAGGAATCGACGAAAGTGTCCAACGTGTCGACCTCACGCTCGGCTGGACTTCCACAACTGAAATCCAATAAAATAAAACCTAACGCCATCCTTTTATTATTAGTCGTTTGAGACGGTCAGTTTGTAACCAGGGCGTTGGAGGTGTTTTACCAACAGTTCATACCCCAAATGAGGTGAAATTCTAAAAAATCCATGTACTTTTAAAGTCTTCGAACAGTTTATCAACGTAAAAAAACACGGCTCTTTTTATATTTGATCCATTTTTGCCACTGAGACTAAAAAACAATGTGCGCACAGGCAAAACAATTGGTGGAGAGTTACATTCAGATAGCCTTATCACATTAACCTGGATCGAAATTGCATCATAATGGATTACGAATTTCTAAATTGTTACCAAGGCAAATTTTGCGTCTGCGCCGGACAACCAAAACCACTATTCCCATATGAGTTTTTCATGGACTCTGGCAAAACACGTCCCTACCTGTACTAGTCTCTAGTCTACGCTTAGTCGGTTTGTGTCATTTGAGCTAAAAATCCTGCCTTTCAACGTGCACCATGAGGAATTGTTTCAAAACGCTATCTTTGTAGTGAGAGTTCAGTAGTCACTAAACTGTAAAATATTTTTTTAATCAATTATTCTGCATACAGAGCTTGTTATAAAAGTGAAGAAGTTAGTATACAAATCAACAGACAATTTGCCCCACTGAGATAACTGAAAACATCACTACTAGCCGATTTTGTGTTTGAGCTAAACTTCCAGGCAGGACATTCTAACTACCATTTAATGCATAAATTACAGTTCCCTCATAGAGTATCTACAATCACTAAAAGCACGACGATGCCATGTGAAGTACGTGGAGAATGCTATTCAGGTGGTCGGCCATTGTCATTCTAAATAAAAGTCTACCGTGGGCAAGTAGTATGACGCCATTCAGTGTTCTCCTTTAGAGGGGCATCACCGCGTTTCAGGGGCACTTTTAGAGGAGGCAATTCGACTGGTAGGTCCTCCTCCGGCACGGGAACCATCTGAAAAGAAACTAGTGCTTTGAAAGTTGTAAACTGCCGCAGTTTTGAGACTGTTTTAGATTGCAAGCGAGCTCAGAGGAAACTTCTACTAAAAGGAAACTCAGTGCTGTTTAGCAATCAATCAGAAACGCTGGTTTGCTTCGAGGACGCTTCTCGAGTTGTCGCATGTGATGCGTCCGAAATACAACCCCAGATTGAGTATGGCTGTAGGTCATGCAATCACCGAGACAAGAGACTAGTGGGTGCATAACACGAAGATCGGAAATATTCAGGCCGCAAAGTGACTAGTTAGAAATCACAAATCCTTTATTATACCTTCTTGTTAAAAATTCCTTCTCTGACCCGCGAATCCATATGTAAATATGTACTTACACGGATAATGTTTTAACGTGATACAGTTAAGAGTTGTTAAGCAGTGATATTTCGGCTCACTGAACAACCGCATGGCTGTCAGACAGCAACAAATGTTCGTATTCGTCTGCGAGAGAGACAAGAGGGAGAAAGGAACATGGGATTAATGCAAATTAACAAAGCTTGATGGAAAAAATGATTCCATTATATATCAATTCAGTCAGGCAGCACCGATACACAGTACTGTTTGGCAGGACATACGTGAGAGCTTTACCTTACCGATTAAGCCTCCTAGCTGTCACTGACTGTGTAGCACCACCAAATCGAATCAGGCAAGGCGGGATAGAACCACAAATTAAAGAGCCCAAGGGAAATCATACCATTACATAAAAATTTGCGTACGTTAGGTGTGAGTAGCCGCACCAACAAGCATCACCTTAATTCAAATAAATAGCTGTAACAACATTTTGGGAGCATTCAGCCAGCTAATAATCGAATTTTTTTACAACAAACGACAGGCATAACGTATCTTGGTATAATGAAGTTGTTGTCATATGCAGTTTTAGAAAATACTCGTATAATTCACCAACTGCTTCTCTGTGAAAATTAAACGGTTGGGGAATTTTCTGCAATCGACTGAGTGGCGTGGAAGAATGCCCAGTCTTGGGGAGCAGCATGCTGAGAAAGTCTAAAAGCCCAAAAATGCGTTCCTTTTCCGATACTCCAAAAGTCCCCTTTTTCCTCCCCAAATCCCAAATATTCTCGTTCACTTTTCCCTGATTGGTCAATATGACACGGCGACAGACCTCAAATGTGCTCTTTACTGTAAGATCAAGACCCGTGTCTTGCGCGTACTCCATCACAGCACCTGGCGGGTACGAGCATGTACGCCACAACGCTGATATACTCATTTTGGCGGTAATAAAGGTCTGCTTTGAAGGTTTCATCTTTGATTAATCCAGTTGGAAACTCGAAGGGGTCCATGCTCACATATACATGGGGTTTTATAACATGTCAAACCCTCTTTTGAGATATTACCAACAAAATCTGTCTTTAAAGAAAGGTTTAGATCCACGGGATTAGAGTTTTCTCAAAATAATGGAATGATTTAATCCCTACTATTTAAGGAGTCCTACTTGTGAACATTAAAATTGGGCCTGTAGAGACATCACTGTGAGCACCAATAAACACTTGACTGAAGTTATTCAATTTTATTTTTTATAAATATGGTCTAGTACACTTTTTCGAGGTTACGCAATGGATGCGCAAGGCTAGGAAAGACGACCGAAATTGTTAACTCACCCCGCAGTTCGGACAGGATATAAGAGGAATTGGCGTGGCCCAATACCGCTGCCTTGATACCGACCAATCTTTTCGATACCGACTACAGCGATAAAGCCTGTATTCGGAGCCCTGCGATACATAAGAAGCACAGTTTAATTAACCGATTCGTTTCGTAAGGTACAAATGGGCTAATAAAACCTCACCTTTAACTTGCTTACGGCCAGGGCAGTCGCCTCCCTCAAATTGAGTCCATTAAACTACAACCACAATCAAACGTGCCCTTACTCCATCCACAAAACAAGAGGCTAATTAATCTTAAAGGTGGATTGCGGAAGTACAAGGAAAAAAATAACCGCCTGCATTTGCAACACTTAACTTAATTTCTTGTCAGTGAGAAAGTGAGTGGAGGTAATTCAATTGCCTAAAAGTGGACGGGTAATCAAATCATAAAAACCTGATTTGGATCTCAAAGTTGCTGAATAAAAGAACTGACTTTAGTGCTTCGAAAATCCCTAGCTTTTTACGATATTGTGGCATTGCAGTTGACTTCAACAACCAGGAAAAAGCACTAGAAATATTGCCACTCACCTCCGGTAGAGGGCTCCGTTTGATCCTGATTCGTAACTCATTGTCGGTTTCCGCAGGGGAAGTGAGATCAATTTGGCATTCAGGTGGTGGAAGATCAAGGAAGCGGCTCAACTCCCTATGGCGGTCACAGATATCGGGTGTGCCTAAAGCAGTCACAAGGCTCTGCAAACTCTCCCCAACAGCTTCAGTTGCCTCAAAGTATAATATGCAACCAAACTTATTAACTGAACTTATTCATTCAGGAAGTTAAAACGCACCTAACTCGATCACCGTTTCGTACTCGACGCTGGAATGCAGCTCTGGATCGTATACAAGTGGGATGTAGGTGCCTGTGAGGAGGTGTTTAACGCTAATGTTGAGCCTCTCGGGCCAAGGATGGCGCGATGCGGCAGGTTGCACAGAGAGTTTGCCCAGGGATGAGCATGAACTCGTGACAACCAGCTTTCGAGAGCCATTAACTTCACATATGTTTTGGGGCTATAATGTAAGCATATCACCACTTATAGAAAAAGCGTAAGTAATCAATTGTAAAACACAAACATATCAAACATCAAAACAAGGAGAATAACCGACCAAATGACTCGCAATGTTTGATTTGTTGTAAAGACGCCTTTTACAAACTACTAAAAGCTTACAAATCGGAACCGTTCATTCCAAAATATGCTCTGGGGTCCCACGGCGACAAAGCTGATAGCTCCGGCAGCCGCAAGGCCAGGCTGTTTGGTGAAAACAGCCAGACGTTCGCCTTGGTGCTCCTTGTCAGTGGAATGAAAGACTAGATCAAATTCCACAACAAAGCCATCGTTTGGACCGATCCAACCCTCTTGCATTTGGATGACATCACGCCACTGTTGACCCCTAATCTCTCCAAGGCCATCTTTCAGTGACTAGAAAATAATGTGCTAGTAGTTCCCACTTGGGTTCAAATAGCTCATCCACAGCATATGTAAATGCAACATACATAAGAAAAATAACCATGCTAGCTAGGTTACCAATATAAAGACTACTTTTCTTAAAAGAGAGATGCTATAAAACGACTATGCATCACGCCGACTTGCCTCCGAGTACGCCAGTGTTCTAAAGAACCATTGGCGCATTGCTCGTTTCTCTACTAGCGCCCCAGAACGCCAAGATCTCCCTTCAGCATCAACAAGTTCGTTTGCAAGAACCGTTTTGTCAACGGGGTCCCAGTTTACTTCGGCTAATCGCTTATACGCCAGTCCAGCTTCGAAAAGCTTAATAAATAGCCACTGAGTCCATCTATAATAGTTTGGGTTGCAGGTGGCGATTTCACGCGTCCAATCAAACGATAATTTCATGTCATCCCTAAGTTGTTTGCGCATATTCTGGATGTTCCTTTAAAAAAATAAGAGCGCTTAAACTCACTAAGTAGAGGAACACTCAGCATTAATTTAATTGCCACACACTTGCGAGTCCATTCATCAGGCAAAACACCGCGATCAATCGCCGCATTCTCCGCAGGAAGACCAAAAGCATCCCACCCCATCGGAAATATAACTTCACTCCCAAGTAATTGATAATACCTAACAAGAACATCAGCGACAGTATATACACGGAGATGGCCCATATGCAACCTTCCAGACGGATAAGGGAACATCGACAATATATATAAAGTCATGTTCTATGCAAATTTAAATCAGGTAGATTCCTTACGGCTTTTCCTGTTCTTGTGGGTGTCGCTTTTCGACGACTAACAAAATCACCCCACCTATTTTCAATATTCAAGCGCATCTTATCATCTAACTCAGGCTAAAGAAATCAGCTGCAGATATTTTTGTACCCAAATGCGTGCGGAGCATGTTGCATAACGTGAACGATTTTGCTTTATCCCAAAAAATGGAAAAGCCCTCCTGTGCATGCTTATGCAAGCTAACTAGAATTGCTCCACACTTATTGGATAATCAGTTCAGTACAAAAAAGTTACGCTTGCAGACACAAATACAAACAAATTCCGTTAGAGGAATCAAAAGTTTGGAATCCAGTGTCTGCATTTAAAGTCAAGAGTTACTGTAATAACAAAGCTTATGTTATTTGGCAGAAGAGGTGTTGCGGTACAATACGATTCCCCCAGATATTACGACCAGTATAATTTCACGATGCTGCATATAGCAGCTTGTTTTTTCGATATCTGATTCTAAATACAAATAAAGTCCTAAGTTATTAGGAAAATGCACCTATTTTAGAAATAGCTGATTAACTCATTTCGAGTGCTTTGCAGTTCTACAAACGACCGGCTGATTTAAGCCAATTCCCTACTTTTCTCCGGATTGGCTGAGCGGATCCTCGCACAGGCCTGAAGTGCTAGGAACCCGATCTTACAGTCTTTTTACCCATTGTCATTTTATCACTTAAGGTCATTACCTGCTTTATAATGTGTGTGTAATGTCGTGATGGCTGATGGACCTCTAATAAAGCACTTACTTAACTAGATTTCGAGCATTTTCAACTTAACTGTGGAAATCAAAATGGCTATCATTAATGCCGTTTTGTAGTTTTTCCAGCCTCCCTCAAAGTATATGCAGGACTAACTATTATTACTAACCTTGGGCTGGTACACTAGCCACTGCGGTAAGGCTACTAGGACGGGAGTAAAAGCCACAGATACTGGATATCCCGTGCATGTAAATGTACGTTAAAATCGATGTCGAGGGAATGCGCTTTGTCTGAGCTCTTATCTTGCCCGGTGTTACTGCGTTTATGCAAGAACTTTTTATCCACTATTCGTTAATATCGCGTTTAGACTAATTTGAATAGAAAAAAATTACTGTGGCAGTCAATCACAAAGTGCGAGGACAGGCTCGATTATTCACGTGACAAGACCTTGATTTTTCACGCAGAGTAGGTGGGCCGACACGATGTGCACTTATTTTTTTAGCAACCACCACCTGAGTCGCTAATGTACCTCCTCGCTGAAATGAGTGGTTTTGCAGTGGGCCAAGCAACGGAGGTAATGGCTGGAGGGGCGATTATGAGGGCGGGGGAGCCAGACGGTGATGCGAGCGGGCGAAGCGATGGGCCGTGCGTGGAGAGTCAAACCGTGGACACCGTTGTCGGAAATGTGCCCTCTCAACTCAGTGCCTAAATTATCCTTCAAACCTAAAAAAAAAAATGGCAAAACAACACCCAGGAGCCACTGCTGATCGGAAGGTTCGAAAACCACCTTCCAAATTAAATAGGAACCAGTAACTTATCTGTATGAAATAATTCTTACTCAATCTCACATTTCTTTTTGCCACTGTTAGGCACAAACCGGTCCCAAATCCGTAACGAGCTTGTGTACATCAGTACCGGTACTAGCCTCGCGCGGGAGTTTACGAGGTGGAACTTTACTCTCCCTTGAACAAATAACCTCAATTTCGTATGACTGAATTCAAGCTACCTACTGCTGTGAAAAGCTGTCCAATTCAACTCTTTAGTTTCCCAGCTATCTAGTGGTCTGACGGGCTCCATGACTCCTCCTGTCCTATCGAATAACGGCTGAACACGTCTCTCACCTAGCTGTGCATCCCATGTTCCGCTAATACAGTAACGCAGTAGGAAATCAAATGCATATGTAACCAACAGCGAACCCCATCGACGTCGACTTCTACGGCAGAGCTGCATTGTTTAGGATATAAGGATGTTGCGAAACGAAACGAGGTAGGCGAAATAAAGAATCCCCAATAAATTGTCCGACACCGTTAGCCGCCGAAATTGTTAGAAGTGTTCGAATATACTAAAACCACCGGACGAAACGAGGGCTCTAGCACTAACTATTGTTACAGCTTACTTTTGTCATTTAATATGTGTTTTGAAGCAAAATAACAATTGCAAATGAAAAGGAACAGTGCCATGACGGCTCCAGTTGAATGCAGGGAGCCTAGGCTAGTCCGCAGTGCGGCGGTAGGCGCAAGGACTCAAGAGTCTCCTGCACCCTTCCATCGATTTGCTTATTCATTGGTCGATAAGGGCGGCTGCGGTGCGTACGTGTGTGTCCACTCCGCGTGCACAAGCATGGGCTCGCGATTGCACCATATGGAGACGCTTCTTTATTGGCTAATTGTACCCGGGTTAAAGCGGAGACCCAGGGTAGATCCTCATTCGTCGGCGGAGCTATGCCTGCCGGTTCTCTCTTGTGGGACGCTTTCTCGCCTTCCCGGTCGGTGAGCCCTAATACCAATCAGGCATCTCAACCTCTGTGGCTCCTGGGTAACACTTTTTCTCAGCGTAAGTAGGTCTGTGGTAACACTTTCCATCTGTAATCATCTGCTTCATGCAAAACAACTCGTGTCAAGCTTGCAGAACAACCCAGTCAGACGTTCGTAAGAGCAACTCTGCCTTCAAGCCAGGAGACAGGTGGTAGTCTGACGATTTATATGTGCACATATGATGATGCTTAGTCAGTGCAAGAAGCTGAGCTATGGTCCACTTAGGTCCACGGTCAAAACGGCCTTATTCGACTCATGTAGTGGCAATGTTTTTCACTTCTTTTAGAAAATCCGGGTCACGGCGAACGCTACACTCTTGCGGTGGAACAAATTAATCGCTGGCGTGATCTGTGAGTTTTTTTTTCTGGTATTCTGTGTAGTGGAAAGGTTAGCTTAGTCTCAGCGTCACATGTCGTAACGCATTAACTTCGAATACGTTGACTTGCTCTGTCCTTGTCCATGTTGCTTCTCCATTTACCGCTTTGACGGTCGTGTGGGCAGCGGACCTTCACATTCTTCAGTGTTTTGGACCCTCAGGGATGAGTGTTTAATCGCATCATATAGTTGATAATCAAGTTAAGCGGCCCTTCTGGGGTAGCTGAATAGTGACCGATATCCGGCATTCCATCAGTTTATCTGTAATCGCGGACGTTCTCACGGTTCGCTTCCGCGTTTTTACCCGAGAATTTTGGAAACTGTGCCTTCTATAGTCTGGGTAGCATTACCCCAAACAATCGTATCCGCAGGCTAGCTCACATCCTCAGACCATAAAGTTCAACCTGAAGTTTGAACATATTCAGAGGGCTGCAACCGACCAGTAGCATGGATTTGTATTGCTATTCAGGAAAAGGTAGACGCTTGGACTGCTAGTCAACGAGGGTCGAAGCTCGGTTACCTGTCTCGGGCCCTTCCACCACTTTGAGATTGGCGTGTTCGGGGTGTCGATGGGTGTGGCATAGCAATCTTGATTCGCAGTTCCGTTCGAAGTCTCCTGATATATGAGCCTTAGTTACCTGAGTTTGTGCTACCGCTCCGAGGGCTTCGTCGTTTTGTTTATCACTATTTGAGCGACAAAACGTTACTGTTTTTTTATAAAGTTGGAGGTTTTTCTTCAGTTAGTCGCTTGGGTTGTATCAGCAAGATAGGGGGTGGTGGTGGGTTTGCTGCAGTTGGCTTTTATCCCTAGCGTGCTGAATTTCAGTAAACCACTGTGTCTGCTAGCGATGCGAATTGCAGATTGCTCGGCAGAAGCCTGTCACGGAGCCCATTGCGCTGTGGATGCACGTTTGCTGATCGCGTACTATTTTTGAACATCATTAGTTTCGGAAATGTAGACGCACTACTTAAAAAAGGTGGCATATGCTGTGTTCCCCCAATGATGACTGGGGGACAGATGGCGAGTCAAGGCAATTGCGTGTTTTAGTTCCTCCGAAATCCTGACCTTAACTCCGGTCGGGCAAAACACCCCGGGTTTGGGAGTTTACCCTCTCGGTTGGCACCTGAGTTGTGCAACCGCGGTCGCTGTCAGAGGAATACTGGCTTTTAGAAGTTCGTTCGGCTCGCCTAAATCAAGCTTCGTTTTCGTTCAAGTTCGAGGCAGCGGATCCCTACAAGGTTCCGGTGCAGGATAATACTGCTCTGCCCTCGCTTCGGTTTTATTACTCCCCTCGTCTCCGGACGGACATGTGATCCGTCTAGACTGTCGTCTCTACCGTGCTGGCATTTAATCGATGCTGAAAAAGTGTTCCGACTTACATAGGTTTTCGGGGCTATCTCAGCCATTGTCGGGGCTGGAGAAAGCAACTGAGAGGGGTTGTTTGGTTAGCTTTGAGGTGCACTGTGTGTCGGCCCACAAGTTCGCAAAAGCCGAGGGGCATGCCTTCACCTGACGGCGGTGGGTGCCTATGGATATGGGCTGTTGGGTTTCCGTTGCAGATGAGCGCGAAGGTACAAAGTGTATGGTAGATCACAAGGCCAAGCGGTCCAATCCCCGGAGGGACGTATAGAATTCTGGTCTTTAATTCTGGGGGTGACACCAAAGGGCGGGGCGAGTGCGTAAAGTAACGAACCATAGGATCATGTAGCTTCTTAGGTCTGGGTTATCTGTTTGCTCAATTTCCTCCACATCATCTGGTGCCACTTTGATTGTCAAGTAGGTGCGGGTCCCTATCCATGTCAAAAGGTGTTGACTAGCACGTGATGGCCGTTTTATTGGGCAAGGTCCGTCTACTGTTTGCACTCGGTGGCAATCCTTTTATGAGTTTGCGCCCAATGCAAGATTAGGCTCCTACCTTAAGTTGGTTTAACATAAAGCCTTTTTTTCCGTGGTAGCAGCAACCACTGTGCGTTAGTTAAGTGGGTCTGTACGCCCATTGGAGTTTCTAGTGCGGCTGAGCACGTTGGCGGGGCATCTTCTGGCTATCCAGGCTGCTGTCCTCCGTGAGCTTGTCGGCTGACTCATTTTGGGACCCGGGGGGAGAGGGGCGTGAAGTTGATATGCCGACATTAATCTAGTGATTTTTGCTCACTATGCCTGGCGCAATCGCCCAGTTTCAGTCGCCGTGACCAAGTGCGACTCGAAAGGAGGCGGCGAGGGAACGATGCTTCCTTGTAGCCGGGGCCTCCATGCTTGTCAGCTCACCCCTCAAAGAGTGTAGAGAATGCGTTACGAAGCCCAACGCCTCCCTCAAGTTGTCACAATTTGAACTCTCCCTAGGGCAGCGTTATTGCTGTAAAGCTTGTATCGTGGACGGCAAGTTGATAGTGCATTGTCTGCTCCGTGTCTTTCTTCATTTTCTTTCGACTAAGTTTGCTGGGGAGGTCAGTAACACCCGAGTAACTTTAGGTAGGAAGAGGAGCACCCATTTTTCAAAATGGGAAGTTTTGTCGGGTGCAACGCTTCTAAGCCCTTGGGTGCTGCACGCTGGTGCAGCGGTCGCCCCTTGCCTTGATGGACGTCTTATTTTCTTGCAGGATAAAAACCTACTATGAACAGGGGATTCCCATGGATAATCCTCTACTATATCGCCTGACCAATTTTCTCGGCCAGTTAGTTCCCCTAATCCGTCATCTTAGCGAGGCAAACATGGATCTTTGTGTCTTCTGCCGGAACAACAACGAGACTTTTGAGATGTATACCAGCCACAAGGTATGATTCTGGGAGGGTTGCCACGCAATCTTGGTTATGCAATGAAAAGGGTTTAATCAATCAGCCTTACCGTATGCGGAGGCTCTGTACTTTGCCACTTAGTCTATATGGAAGTGTGATGGCGCAGACCCTCTTTGCTACAGCTTATAGCACTCGTGGCATTTTTGCGGTAGGATAGCAAGCCGCCGCAGAGTGCGACCAGTAAGGCGGGGCGTCCGTGAGTATCCTGCCAGGCGTATTAATTCTTTCCTCCATGACAGGTGAAGGACAGGGCAGGTCGTGTCATCTGCCCAGTACTGCGTCGATTTGTCTGCCCACTGTGCTCGGCTACGGGGGACTACGCACACACCATTCGCTACTGCCCACTCTCGAGCCATAACGCCACCGTCTCTGCCGGCTTCGGAATGCGTCTCCCCGCCGGCGCCACGGCCGCCACCACCACTGCCCACCACCGCCTGTTTGAACCCACGGCCGCCGCTACCTCACTCGATAGCGGCGCCTCCTGCTGCGTGAACATTGACAACAATGACAGTGGGGGGAGATTAATCGACCAGTTGATGCTGGAGAGCTGCCGTAATTTCTCGCTCAGCTAATCTAATGCGGCCCTTCCTTTCACATCTATTTTAACACTAATAGACTACTCTTTGTTAATGTTAAATGTGAATAGATTCTTTAAAAATTAGGCGTAAGTTCTTGTGTATCCAAAGTAGGGTCATGTAATGGCTGTGAGGGGAGGGCCGCGAGTTCATCAGAGGAGTGCGCTGATATCTAGCACCATGGCTGCTTTGTCCTCAAGGGTACGGCCAGAGATCGAGTTTAGTGGTGGTTCAATACAAAGATCTGCTGGGGTTATTACCCTGATTGGGGTGCTTGGGGCTGTTCAATAATTTGATAAGGAGGCCCCACCCAAAATTCACTTTGGGCAGTGGTTCTTGCGTCAGTTTTGCCTCATAAGTCAACGTACCCGGGCGGCTGATCGGCGTTTTTGCCACAGGGAGGAGCGTGATGAAGGCTGAAGCCTTCCCCTATTGATTTTGCTTGAGGAACCTTAGATGCGGGTGACTCCAGCTGAGTTGGTAGCCTGGGAAGCCATGACATCGGGGCCGGAACCCTGCGGGACGCATGTGGCATCAGGGACTCCGGCCGTTTCAATGCGAGAATTTTAACATCTAAGCGCCCGCTTCTCTTCGCACAATTCCAGCCCCATCGTTGCCCTATTTATCAAGCCGGGACCCGGCTGGAGGCAGCCTTTCCATGCCACCATTGCGGTAAAGCGTTAGAACCGTCCAGAGTCCGAACGGCCGCATAGAGAACCTGAGCCGGATGATGATGCCGGTGATGCGCCGCCTGCTAGCCCCCGTCCATTTACCAGCCAAGAGAGGCGACGTCACGTCCTCGAAGCGCAGCTCGCAAACTGAGTCGAAGTCCCACCACCGCCGGCCACCTGAACGTTACAATCGCTATGACTGGCTCGACATTGCTATCCGAAGTCTATAAAAATCTGACTGTTTTGAAGAACTGAGACAACCACCCACAGCGTCACCAAACACCGCTCCTCAGGACTGCCAGGGGACTATTACAATCGGCTAACGGCAACTAGATCAGCAAACTGTAAGCAATTTGCTCAAGAGCCTAACCCAGACCAAGCTCAGCCGACACAAATCACGCCGGACGAGCCCAGCGACTATCCGAAACGGGGCAACCCACAAACAGGAACAAGCAAAACCAGCCAACAACCAATAGCACCATAATTTGACCAAATCTGAAGCAAAGGTACCAGCACGCTATGCCGCCGAGTATGCATCGAGTAAATACAAATGTCTCCAACCTTGATCAGCTTACTTTGGAACAGATAAACTGAATCGAGCGCCATTCGTTACGATTGAAAACATAAAAACGGTCACTAAACTGTGGACATTGGTACAAAACGCAAATGTCTAAAAAATAAACAAGGTCTCAACCGGTGGTTCCAAAGAAGAGTAACAATACGAAGAACGCGATTTATTGACACAAGCCAACTCAGAACTTATTGAACCCCTTCTTCGACTTGTAGCCGCTTGCCTTCGACACTTTGATAACGTTGTAGCTCACAGTCTTGCTAAGTGGCCTGCATTCACCGCAAGTGACCGTATCACCCACTTGGACATCGCGGAAGCATGGGGACATATGAACGGACATATTCTTATGTCGCTTCTCAAAACGCTTGTATTTCTTGACGTACTTCATGTAATCACGACGAATTACAATAGTACGGTTCATCTTCATCTTGCGAACGGTTCCAGTAAGAATACGACCGCGAATTGTGACGTCACTCGTAAAGGGACATTTCTTATCGATGTAGGTGCCAAAGATAGCCTCTTTCGGGGTTTTGTAGCCCAGGCCGATGGATTTGTAATAACGTGACCCCTTCTTACCTAGTAGTTTCTGCTTCTGATAAGCACGTTCAATCTACAAAGGAAAATAACGAAGACAAGGAAGAACCTGCTCAGCCATCGAACAAAACACGCTGAAGCAAAAGCGAGCGCGTCACCGGCTAGTCGTTTAAAATAAGCACATAAAGCGAGCTTGTTTTCTTTATCTTGTTAGCGCGATTAATTTAGCACCTCTAATTCATTAGTTATTCGTTAATTGGACTTTTTTAAGAAAGCTGGCTTGCAGCTGAATTGATTCACTTTTTAGGGATATTTTGAATCCATTTTAGAAGGACCCATTTTTAAAAAAAAGGCAATTTTAATACCTTGCTTACTTGTTTCATGGAAACGGCATAAAGGAGATAAACCTCTTTAAATATATTTGGAACGCCTGCAATTTTCATGTAAGGGCGTGGCTGCCCTATCGACAAAATCGACTTCAGTGTAGCGTTATGTAGAGCGAGGCTCCTCGGTCTCCGCTTCCCGATTCCTAGCGTTCCTAGACAAGCCCAGTTGATTTGCTTTGGACATCTTTATTAAAGGTGACAAGATGGATAGGGAAAATACAATATTCAAGAGGGAGGGGAGCCGCAGTCACTAGGTAAGGGAGAGGACGATCCGGTTACAAGATTCAAATTTCTTGATTGCCTCCTCCCTGAAAGGCACCTTAAAACAACATAAGTATTACAGTTAGACGCTTTGCGCAGATTCGATAGCTTATTACCTCTACGTAGCACTTGCTTAGGCTTGCGGAATAGTAGACCGTCTTGTGCTGTGGCAGTAGACAGCCTTCTTATCTGTATTCCCATATTTGTGCTTTATTAAGTTGCCAAAGCCGTATATATTTACCATCTCAATTATATTGAAAAATCACATTTGCATAAATGGTGAGGAATGGTTAAGGGTGTGTGCGCTGCTTTACACCCTCTTCAAACTATCACCTTGCGCTCCGAGCAGAGTATTGTTGCACCTTAAGGCCCTCGATTACTCACTGACTTTGGGACATTTTCGTTTATTGTAAAGACTATTTCTCCCAAAGATGCATATAGCCAAATTTTTTAATAAACGGGTTGAGTTTGTACTGTGAAGTCCCAAGGCCTCCCTCAAGACGAAGGAATTTGTTATACTCGAGTAGAATACATATATTCAGCATCAGTAGGGCTTGGGCCTACTGGCGTGGCTCGAAGGCCAGCCCACTTAGCGAAAGCACTATGGTGGAGCACTTACATGGCTCCTTTACCAGGGCAGAATTAAACAAACTGACGTATTGCATGTAGGAGTTATGACGTTTAAAGACATGTATTTGAGTGCGACCCAAATGGCATAATAAAACCTTCGGGTATAACTAAATAACTCAATTTGTTTGGATTCAAAGTGTTTCACTTAGCACTATATTTCAACGCTACTTCTGAATAACTTGCATTATGGGATTCTTAACACAAAGCTTTTAAACTGCGCAGGGGCTTTAAACGATATGCATCGTGGTGGTTCTGGGAATAGGCAATGAAAACGTCCCTTATAACATGAAATTTTGGAAAGGCAGTTGAAGGATATCGGGATGAAAAGAACAATCATTAAATGGTGTTGGGCATCAAATTACAACTATTCCCACTTAGTAATTTTGAAGATGCATTGGAGTTTTCAAAGAATTGCTGAACACAGATGTGAGTTTAAAGTACGAGATATTTTTTGCGCAAATTGTAATTTAGTTTTTCATTCAAAGCACAAGCAGGCTTTTTCACTGTTTTTTTTTCATTGAACCGATAATTCGGAATGTGACCTGTATTGTCTTTGTCATATTTCATATTCGTCACTAATACAATGGAAACCCTGCCTCGGTCACTATCGGATCTATCACACATGACAGGGAAATGTGCATAATGTAGGAATTCACTGCAATGCTGAAATTCACACTCCATTTTGCTAAGCCTAAATGGCTTTGCCATTAATGGGATCAGCCTGGAACATAGGCCTCATGATGATCCTGGATTCGTGCTACTCTTGTGCAGTTTTATGTCACGGCCACCACCATAAGTGGGCTTGTTCCACTATCCAGGTGTAAACGTGCTTTGGTTTTGCCACATTCGGGCCGATCCACACTCAACAATGAGCATGCCTTGTCCTCAAATAGCGCGTGAGTCAGCGATGTCGGCAAAACAGCTATTTTCACTACATCTAGATTCCCGACTCCGGACAAGGAAATTGTTTTTATTTTTGAAGGGTTTTGCGATGGCTTTTAGACTCTCCCATGCTCACGAGGTCCGGTAACACATCTAAAACGATATTAAAGATCAAAGTGTTTCGTTGTGACATGATGTGAAACGGGACAGAAGCTGGTAGTGCCGACTTTAATTGCTTATCCGCTGTGCTGTTTATGAGTTCGAAAATTTGCATAAGAATTTACCTACCGTAACTCATAATCTAAAATGTCACTTCAGCCTCGAAGTTCTGGAAGTGATTTACAAAGAGGAATTGAGGCTCCTGAGATTAATCGAGTAAAGTGCAATTGTAAAAGGAATAGGTACTTAAAGCTCACGAAGAACGCCTGTAACACCCTCATGAATTCTTCCTTTGATAAAACAATGATCAAAGCAATTAGGGAGAGTTGCAAACTTGCTTAATTATCCCTTAAAGTGAACAAGAATTGCAGTAAAAATGATACCATTACCAGAGGAAGCCATTCACTTTAAGCAAGCAGGGTTCAAGGAGCATAGCCGACTAAATAACACGAATCAAAAGAGTGGAAAAGTATTCTCGCCTTTGCTTAAGAAGCGAAAATTTTTTTGAAAAACTTGGACATTAAATGATGGAATTTCACTGTGCTCCATTGCAAACCTTTCCGTTAAGACTGGAATGTTATAACCAAGACTTGACTATTTTTAAATGCCTGATTTTGACCATGAGGCCTTCGGTCAGTTAATTACCCCACTTTTAAGTACCCATGTACATTTCGTTCGAAGTCTATAACTTTAAACAGTTGGCCAAGATTAAGAAATTTAAAATTGGAACTTTGTGATCTCAAATTGCGTTAACTTTCACTGGATTAATTTGTATAATCCTGGCTGTGGGCTTCACCAGATTGGCTTTGTAGCCCTTTACTGCATTTTGAATATCTTCCATCTTCATGCAATTAAAACATTCCTTCCACTCGATCTCCCAGATTCCACAGTTCCATAACACTCTGTGGAACCATCTAAAACATCTTTCTCACATTTTAAGATTTTGCATAAAAATAAAAAATGATCCCTTTCTTCTTTGGACTCAGTGGGGTTCATTTTAACAGTTTCCACTAGTCACTATAAAGTTAGCAGCTCAACATTAGTAAAGTGTAGAAACAGAAGATTTACTTTTAGTCCAGTTTTTAAGCTTTCATGGTGTGTACCGTTTTATCCATTTTGGGATACATTTTAGACCACAGCAAGATATCACCTAAATATAGGTACGGCTAGGGGGAGTTTACGAAAGCTAAAACGAACATCACATGCATAACCGAATGCTTTAATTTGTGGAGGCTTGTAATAGAATGACGATAATGAAGAAACCTCACGGATAAGTTGCTATTCTTTGAAGTTTTATTCTTCAGTCCTCGAAGTGGATTGTAGTGGGACCATGCTAATGGGACCTAATTTGTATGCCAAGTAATTGATCTGCAAAACTAAAGAGAGTCCACAACATTCTCCTTCTAAAAGAAAAAATCCTGCTCAATTTATTAAGGCTTATCACTCATTTATAGAAAATGACTCATAATATTCCTGTGAAAGAACCGTTGCGCAATAATTATTGAGTCCCAAAACAGGAATTTGATCCTGCAAGATTCCATCCCAATCTTTCGAAAAGAGCTTCATTTTATGGCGAAGCTTGAATAGTTTTGTTTTTTAAGTATGTTTTGACAGGCCAACCCTCAGCAGAGGGAAGTAAATATCTTAGGAGATATTCTAAAGTGCCGTTTAGTAAGTTTTGACACTTACCTTTACTTAAATGCCACCACTACCTGGGCCTTGTACCGCACCCGTAGCTTAATTATCAGGGCTGAATTGGTGGAAGGGTTGGTGGGAGTACCAGTGGGATTCGCTAAGTGGCCTAATTAGAGGGTGAGTGAGGGAGGGAGAAATGGGTGGTTACTTAAAGCGAGAACGGACGAGATGTCGACATTTGGCGCTACCACCCCGCCTCCTAATCCGGTTGGCGCAGAGGCGAGCAGGGGTATGCACATAAGACCAAGGTCTCCATGACTCCCAACAACCAGATGATGGCGCCAGCGTTACTCGAACCTATCCATACTTAGCGTTTATTACTTGATTAGCGAATTTTAGTTAACATAAGCTTAAGTGAAATTAATAGTGTCAGCGCAAATCCAGGAGTACGGAAAAAATTCATTCCCATCGCTTTGGCATGAGTAATTACCTGTACTGATGGTAGAACTTGCATATTTTCTTTGTGCCGGAAGATGAAGCACTGGATATCTGTCAGACGAGCATTTACTAGTAATTTAACTAGCTTATGCGGATAAAGTTTTGCGTGACGCTATTTTTTCATTACCTTGTGTGTTCTGAGTAATATTGCGGAATTAGAGGTTGTAAGAACCAGCTTATCGATATCGAAGTTACCTAAATAAGTAGTGATACAGGATTTGGAGGCATGCAATGCAGCATTTTTGTTGTCATATGGAATCGAAAAAAGGGGCTAATCGTAGGAAGTAGGTATTAGCATGTTCTTAAGTCCATGTATTTATAAATTGGCTCTTTTATAGAATGTTCATATGGAGGAGCATTCACCTAGTCGTCACTCATCGACGGGTATTACAAGGAGGTCTTTCATAAATCAAAATTATGTCAAATAGGCCTGTGGGTCATTAGGCGATATTTTATTTCACGGCTGTTTCTATTCTGTTCTTCAGTTTATAACAGGATAATTGCATTTGGATGGTCATTTCTGATATCTGACATTGAAATTTGCATGTGTATCATGTTCCCAAAGCCAGGAAAATTGGAAGTCAAAAGTTAATGAGCTTCAGACTATGCCAGTGAAATTAAAACTTACGGAAGGAGATCAATAGTATCGACTTCTGTTTGAGTTTAGAAG